CACCTCCTGGGTTCAAGTGATTCTCCTGCCTCAGCCTTCCTAGTAGTTGGGATTACAGGCATGTGACACCACATGTGGCTAATTTTTTAATTTTTTTAGTAGAGATGGGGTTTCACTATGTTGGCCAGGCTGGTCTCGAACTCCTGACCTCAGGTGTTCCACCCACCTCAGCCTCCCAAAGTGCTAGGATCACAGGCGTTAGCCACTGCAACCCAGCCGATATATTAATATTAACTAAACCCCCCTGCACTTCTCTTTGTGTTGTAAGCCCCATGGTTTTGACCAAATGATATGTGTCCACCTTTATATTATCACAGGATAGTTTCACTGTGTTTCACGCATTTATCCCTTCCTCTTAACCCCTGGCAACCACTGATTTTTTACTGTCTGCATAGTTTTTGCCTTTTCCAGGATGTCATAGAGTTGGAATCATACTGTATACAGGCTTTTCAGGCTGGCTTTTTTTCACTTAGTAGTGCACATTTAAGCTTCTGCCTTGTCTTTGCGTGGGTTGACAGCTCATTTCTTTTTTTATTTTTATTTTTTGAGATAGGGTCTTGCTCTGTTGCCCAGGCTGGAGTGCAGTAGCATGATCATGGCTCACTGCAGCCTCAACTTCCCAGGCTCAAGTGATCCTCTCACCTCTGCCTCCCAAGTAGCTGAGACCACAGGCATGCGCCACCACACCCAGCTAATTTTTTGATTTTTTTTTTTTGTAGAGACAAAAAAAGTGTTGTCCAGGCTGGTCTCGAACTCCTGGGCTCAAGCAATCCTCTTGACCCGGCCTGCCGAGTAGCTGGAACTATAGGCGTGTGCCCCATACCTGGCAGGCATGGGGTTTTCAGGCAGTAGAGGGTGGCAGGATCAGCTGCTCTGATCCAAGAGGCTCCTGGCTCTCCCCCAGCTGGGGTCTTAGGGGGCTGTAGGGCCAGCCTAGAATTTGCATATCCACTTTACAGATGGCGGGGGGTGGGGGTGGCTGTGCCTACACTGAGCTCCTTTGCAGCCTCTGCTTTCTCCCTCTCCAGGGAAGAGGACCCAGATGATGTGCCCCATGGACATATCACTTCATTGGTATGTAAGGTTCACTCAGGCTCTCGGGTGGGGGTGGAAGTGGGGGTTAGTTGAGGCAGCCCTCAAGGTCCCAGTCCTTCACCCGCTCTCTGCTCTTCTCCTACCAGGCTGTGAAGCGTTCCCACCGGCGCCTCGGTCTGGCTCAGAAACTGATGGACCAGGCCTCTCGAGCCATGATAGAGAACTTCAATGCCAAATACGTCTCCCTGCATGTCAGGAAGAGGTGGAAGCCGGGCTGAGGGAAGGGGGATTGAGGGGGAGAGATATTGCCTTGACGGGGGTCCTGGGGTACCTCGGCTTTTGGTGAAGATCCAGGAAGTGGGATTGGGGTGAAGGAGGGACCAAGAGGAGGGGCAGGCACTGGACGTGCTACCCCTCCCTGGCCATGTCCGTGCAGCTCAGCAGTGCCTTGTTCCCCTGCAGTAACCGGGCCGCCCTGCACCTCTATTCCAACACCCTCAACTTTCAGTAAGTAGATCTCGAGTTTTCTTGTGGGCTGGGGTTGGCCCCAGGTCTGGCCCATCAGGGCACCTGAGACCGGCTGAGTTGCCTTCCAGGCTAGGGGTGGGCCGGATGTGGGGAGGATGCTGTGGACCCCAATGCTGCCAGGATGCCTCCACATTCACTCGGTGGCTGATGGTTGAAAAGCCGGCATGGAGACAGCACCTGCCTGCTGAAACGTGCTCCCTGTGTGTTGTGATGGAGGAGCTGTGGCCCATGCTGGCAGAGGCTGGTGAAGGGCACACGGGCTGTTTAGTAATGTTTGGGAATAAAGAGGTGTGGGTCCCTGGCGTGAGCAGATCATAGCATGGCCAAGCACCTGGAAGAATCCAAGAGAGAGCAGAATCAAGGAGAATGCACGTTCAGGAAGGAAGGACCGGCGGCCAGGCAGCCTAGTGGATGGGGCAGGTCTGCCTGAGGACCGGGAGGCCCGGTGTGCCTAGCACAGGAGAGAGAACCTGGCAGTCAGCATGCCCAGTAGACAGTGGAAAAAAGTGCTTGCAAGTGAAGCTGGGGTGGGCTGCCGGTGGAGGGACACTAACTGCAGTCAGCCCCTGTTTGGTAGGGGTGAAGAGGAGGGACTGTTGGGAAGGGCAGTGGCCTCTGGGCTGGATGCTGGCAAGCGGGATCTGTGACCCAGATGAGGATGTCTGGTGGGAACTGCTTTATAGCTAAGTCAACAATCCTCATGTCTTAGGCCTGGCAGGGCCAGCCTAGGCCATGGAGTCCAGCTCCCCTTCCAGGGACATGGCCACCCGAGTCTGCACACATGCCTCCCCAGTGCAGGCATGGCCCCTGAGCTGCTGAGGCAGGGCCCGTGCTGCCTAGGGGTGACTCCCCTAAACAGAGCTCACTGTCTTTCCTGGGTTCTGATGGCTGTTGTGAGGCAGCTCAGTAAGGGACAGGACGCAGGGCAGGGAGGGAAGGGGAAGGCTGAATTCAGGAATTCAGCTCACAAGAAACCACAGAAATGAATCCTTAGTAGCCAGGCTAAGGACACAGAACGGGGGCAGGACAGGGGTGGGGCGGGCCGCTGTTTCCTGGAGCCTTTGCTGGAGAGAACAGAGGGCAGGTCACACTGGACTTGCTGTCTCAGGAAGGAGCCCTTCAGGAAGAAAACGTGGCATCTTGCTGCAGTAGCCATGATGCCAGGGGTGGCGGAGGCTGTCCCCAGGTGTGGGTCTTCCTCCTCGCTCTCTGCCCTCTGCCCCCAGGATCAGTGAAGTGGAGCCCAAGTACTACGCAGATGGGGAGGACGCCTACGCCATGAAGCGGGACCTCACTCAGATGGCCGACGAGGTAAGAGCCTGCGTGAAGCCAAGCCAGGCAGGCGGGGCTGGCACTGGGGAGCCCCCAGACAGTGGCTGGAGGTGCGAGCAACTTTGAATGCCAGCCCTTGTGGCTACGTTGCCAGGAGTCACAACCTGAGTTTCCTAGGTTGGGCTTTAGAGGAGGCCGTCTGCCTAGCAGCCTAGAGGGTGATGGGAGAGGCAGAGGGAGGAGGCTTTTAGAAGGGAAGTGGGGAGGCCTGGGGACCAGTGGGTGGCCTGCCTGCTCAGAGGGAGTTCTGAGTCAGGGTTCTGCCCCAGGCTCCTTGGGTGGCAGGGCTGGTCAAGGGGCAACGCTGTGTCGTGGGGGCCTCCATGGTAGTCAGTGAGCCCAGGTAGCAGTGGACTGGGGCTCCAGCCAGGTGTCCCCACTCAGTCCCACGTGTCCTGCCTAGCCCTGCTGCCTCACTATGCCCCTCTCCTCAGCCAGCGACAGGGCCAGGCTCCCTTTGTCTGGAAACTTAGGCCCCATCTCTTTACCTCCTGCTTGTCCCTGGGTTCCTGGTGGCAGCTGAGGCGGCACCTGGAGCTGAAGGAGAAGGGCAGGCACGTGGTGCTGGGTGCCATCGAGAACAAGGTGGAGAGCAAAGGCAATTCACCTCCGAGCTCAGGAGAGGCCTGTCGCGAGGAGAAGGGCCTGGCTGCCGAGGATAGTGGTGGGGACAGCAAGGACCTCAGCGAGGTCAGCGAGACCACAGAGAGCACAGATGTCAAGGACAGCTCAGAGGCCTCCGACTCGGCCTCCTAGAGCCTGCCCCATCCCTTCCTCACCCCACGAGCTTTCACAATAAATTCGCTCCGTGGCACTGGGGAACTTCGTGTGTGTGCGTGTGCACATTTAGAGGGTGTGTTTCTCCAGGTCCTCTGGTGGGGAGGTGAGCCTCAGCCTTTTGACCCAGAGCATCCTGCCAGTCCGAATAGAAGGGAAGAGCTTTGGAGGTGGGACTCCCCAGTCTCATGGCCTTCAGCAGCTGTGGCCCCGGGAAGGAGGCCCTGGGCTTAGGGAGAGACCCTGCCTTGGAGGTCTGCTTGGCCACGCTGAATGTGTTTTGTGGCACAAGCCTGGGCCGCTTAGGCTCAAAGCTCAACAGCAGGGCTCCCACTCTTGGTGGCCTTCAGTTCTCCTCCCATCTTCACCTTCAGACCTTTTCTCTCCCTAATCACACCTGCTTTGGGCTACAGCAGCTCTGCGGCATACCCGTGGGCTCCAGATGTGGACATCTGACTGCTCATTGGGCTTATCTACAGCTGTCCTGAGTATAATGACCCAGCCAGACGCCCTGTCAACGGTCCTTGAGTCCTCCCTTCCCTGCCACCCTAATGGTCAGTGAGTCCATGATACCTCTTGAGTCTACTCCCTGAGTTTGCATTTGAAAATAATTTATTTTTAGTACAGTTCCCCCCGTTTCCCCTATTGACATTTTGTATTAGTTGGTGTATTTGTTATTGTTGATGAGCTAATACTGATAAGTTATTGTAAACTATAGCCCATGGTTTACATTAGGTTTCCTGTCTGTGTTGTACAGTTTCTATGGGGTTACACAAATACATAAAGCCATGTATTCCCTCAAAATAATTTCATGCAGAATACAAAACTGGGTGGCTGTTGGGTGCGGTGGCTCATGCCTGTAATCACAGCACTTTGGGAGGCCGAGGTGGGCGGATCACTTTAGCTCAGGAGTTGGAGACCAGCCTGGGCAGCATGGCGAAACCCCATCTCTACTAAAAATAGAAAAACCGGGTGTGGTGGTGCACGCCTGTAATCCCAGCTACTCGGGAGGCTGAAGCAGGAGGATCCCTTGAGCCCGGGAGGTGGAGGTTGCTGTGAGCCCTGATCACGCCACCACACTCCAGGGACAGAGACCCGTCTCTAAATAAATAAATAAATAAATAAATACACACACACACACACACATCAAAATCCTGTTTTTCATGGAGTCACCCTAACCGTAACGCTCTCTCCTGTGTCTCCCTTCCCTTCCCTCCGGCTGCAAAGCGATCGCTTGCTGTTCCTAGTCCCCGGGCGGGCCCTGTATTCCTGAGCCCTCTGTGTACCCTGCTACTGCAGGTGGCACTGCTCCTCCGACAGGTTGAAAATTCGCCAAACAGACCTGGAGCTCGGTTCTCTTTGGCTGGCGCCTGGCACGTGACCAGCAGGCAGCCAGCTGCTGTGGAAGCGGAGCCCGGAGACCGGCAGGGCGGGGCCGGGGCCGGGGCCGGGGCCGGAAAGGCGCGTTTGCGCACGCCCGCAGCTCTCCGGTTCCCGGCTCGGGCGAGGCTGTGTTCTGATTGGCTTAAGACGTGGGCTTCCCTTTGTATGGGCCGGGGGCGGAGCTCTGGCCCGCCCCGCGCCTGGCGTCAGTGTCTTCCGGTTCGCAAGCCCGCGGCAAGCTTCGTTCCCAGGCTCTGATTGGTCCGGCGGCTCTGGGTTCTGCGCGTGGGGTGCGGGGGAAGGGCGGGCTTGCGCACTACCTCGGCCGCGCCCCGGCGCCGGTGGAAGGGAGCTGGCCCAAGCTCCCACGGCGTCCGCGGCGCCCTCCTTCCGCCCCTGCCCGGCCCGCTGGACCCGGCCCGCCCTCTGCCATCCGTCCCTGGCGGGCCCGATGCCTGTCGGCCGCTCCCTCCGTCCCCATGCGGACAGGTCCCCGCCTTCTGCGGGCTGCCTGGCTTTTGAATGCTTTGAAGGGGAACAATGGAGCGAAGGATAGAGCGAGCAGCAGGGGGCAGTTGCGTTCAGGGCCTTAAATGCCAAACAAGTGCCCTAAAAGCCTGGGCCAAACACTCAGGCTCTAAAGCACGGGCTGAATGGGGCATCCTAGGAATAGCTCTGGAGTGAAAAAAGGAGCGAAGAGAGCGTTTGAAGGCACGGACTGAGGCCTTTCCTGCCTGCCTGAGCCCTGTGTCTGGCTCTGCTGGGTGGAGGGATCTTTCGGGACCAGTCGGGGCTCGGATGGAGGGGCAGGGTGTGTTGGGGCCAGCTAGTGAGGGGCGGGGGTCCCTGCTTCCCCTTGGCCTGAGGCAGAGGTGGGACGTGGGAGTCTCCCAACCAGGAGCAGGTTGGGGTGTGGGTGCGGCTGTAGGCAGGGGCGCAGGCTCTCTAGTCTCGCTGGAGAACTCGAACATCGGTACTTCCGAGGGCAGCTGCTGGAAGTCCAGGTCCTGGGCCTGCCTGGGTCTGGCTAGCTCCCAGGCCTTGAAGCCCCAGGTCCTGCAGACACACTCGACGACGTGTTCGGGAAGGGCCTTGGTACTGGGAGAAGGGGGCGGGGAGCTTCTTCCCGTGAGGGAGTGTTTTTTTCCTTCTGGGCAAGAGAATTAATTGCTCATAGTTGAAAGGCAGGAAGTACCCGCACAGCCTCTCCTCCCCAGATCTGCAGGTCAGGGTCATATGTGCCCACATTTGCACAGAGCCTTACTCTGACATGCGTGCAAACACACGCCTAGTACCCCTGCACTAGTGCCCGCAGGCCCGCCTTCGGAACAGACGCCTGGTGCCCAAGTGCCTTGCCCCTCTCCCCACATCTATACCCCAGGGATTTCCCTCCCACCAAATTGAAGTAAGTTGTCTGCTTGACTTGTCAACCGCCTCCTGCCTCCTGCCTTCCCGATTTCCCGGAGAAAAGCTGCTGCCCTGTGGTAGAGAGTGGAGGAAAGCCCCACCACCCGTGGATGAGGGAGGCCCCAAGACTTGCCCCCAGGGTAGCTAAGATCTTACTCCGAGGGGGCTGCCCCCCTCAGGCCTATGACGGGCAGGTGCAGCTGCAGGGGAAGGGAGGCAGAGCAGTCTCTTCCGGCAGCAGGAAGTGGTAACCGCCTATGGGGAAATCGTGGGGCTGAGCAGAAGGGGAACCGGAGCTGAACTCTCCTCCCCTACCAAGGGGGCCTGGAGGGAATGGCAGCCAGCTGCTGAGGTTCTGCTCTCTGGTGCTGACCTTCCTTCCCCCTCCCCTCTGAACTTCCCACCCCAGCTCTCAAGGCTCCTTGGACCTCTCTGGGGGCTGACTTGGGAAGGGAGGACCCCATCCGATGTCTGGGGGAAGCAGGCCACCCAGGGGGAGTCCAGAGCCTGGGGCAGCAATGGTGTTCATGTCCACTGGTACTGTGGGCCAGCGGCCCCGCTGTGAACTGTGCAGTCTGGCAGTGGTGACCAGGGACAGCCTTCTGGAGGTGGGGGGATGGCAGCCTGGGATGCCAGCTTATGTTGGGGCTCTCATGCCCGCTCCGGCTGCTTGGCAGCGGGGCTTTGGGCACAAGGCAGTCTAGGTGCAGGCCCAGTGGGAGGAGACGGCAAGACCGGGGCACAGTGGGGCTGGAAGGGGCGCCCTGCCCCCAGGAGCCCCTCGCGGGCAGTGCCAGCCCTGGGCCGCCCCGCCCCACCGGGAGCCGCGCTGGGGGCGGGGCTGGGCGGAGCCCGCGCAGGGTGCTGGCCGCAGCGCCCCCAAGTCCCGGCGCCGGGCCCACTCACGGCCGCGTGGGAGCAGTGGGGTTCGACGGCGCGGCCGCTAGGCCGCCATGGCCGCTCACGGGAAGCTGCGGCGGGAGCGGGGGCTGCAGGCTGAGTATGAGACGCAAGTCAAAGGTGAGAGGGCGCCGGGCGCTCCCGGCTCGTTTCCTGCGGAGACCCCAAGGTCGTGAGGGAGCCCCAAGCGTCCCCGCGCTGACCCAGGGCCCGATGCTCTCCCCAGCGACCTCTGGAGTGGGGGTGGAGGAGGGAGCCTGAGCCCCTTGCCTGCCTCCCCACGCCCATTTGGCCTCAACCGCCTGCCATCTTCCCTTCCTTCTTTCCTGTCTTCCTTCTTTTGGTCTTTGTCCTCCTTGGGTCTCTGCTCCTCACCCAAGGTTCAGTGTAGACACTGGTGGCCGCCGGTAAAGGGGAGCCGGATGTACCAACGTGCCCCCCAGAAGGCAGTAGTTTAGCTACAGTGAAGTCAACCACCTTGATTGGGCTAGGGGGTGGGGGGTGAGTAAGGGAGTCTGGGTGAGTGGATTGGTGGAGATCACCTGGCCCTAACCCCAGTGTAGTCCCTGGAGCCTCAGCACCTTTTGCCCCCCTTTAGCACTGAGGGGGATCAGAGGCAAGGGCCACTGTCTCTGGGTCAAGCTGGCGCAGTGAGTCTTGGTTGAGAGATTTAACAGGGCTGGCTTCTCAGCCTTCTGAAATTGAACCTCTTTGGGTTCTGATAAACACCCATGTGCAAATCACATGCAAATCAGCTTTGCAAATTCTTAGCCAATAGCTTGTGCCCATCTTATTCAGGGCATGGTAACTCTTGCAAAGGAAAGAGGCAGCATCTCAGCGCCAGCAGCTCCTCCATATCACTCTCAATCACTCCATTTTACCAGTTACGGAAACAAGCTCAGAGAGGTGCAGTGACTTGCCTGTGGTAACACAGCACTACAACTTCTAGGACGTAGAATGCAATAGCCCTTGAAGTGCCTTTCAACCCAGAGATGTAGGTTCTAACATCATTATTCAGTGCAAGCAATTTATACCCTTTAAAGTATGCCCCAGTCCTCCTCCTTTGGAAAAGGCAGCCTGTGTCCAGAACCAGCTTGAGGTGACTACGCAGGGTGAGCCAGCTTTCCAAGCCTCACCATCATCTTGCTCAGATGGAAGTAATCATCTCCATCCTGCTTCCCCAAAATGCCATGAAGCTGAAAGACTTGGAAAACTTCAATCAGCAAATATGGGTCAGTGATTTCACACTGAAAAGTTGGGGTTTCGAGCAAGACTATCTTAAGGGTTCCTCACTTGCTCTGGGTCTGCATCCCACACCCTAGAAAAACTTCCTACCATGCTACAAAACGGGGTCACTGTCTTGACACCCTAAATTCTCAAAGGTCAGCATAGCCGTGGTTTTGGAGACCATCTTCTCTTCTGTTTTGCTTGTCAGCAGAAGTGAGACCAAATGCCTTGCTCACAGGAAGTGCTGGTGGGGCCCTGGGCCCAGCTCTGTAATTCAGGCAGACATGGATTCCAGCTCTCCTTTTGCCAGATGTTTCCTATACATCTCTGCTGTCCCAGGCCCTGGAAGTATACTGCTGTACAGGAGAGAACCCCGACTCCAGCCCCTCCAGCCCTGGCTTTTTACCCAGAGTAAAAACAGTGATTCAATGAGGACTCTCCTGATTTCAAATGGCGTCAGCACCCACCCTGCCCTCACATGGCTCATGGGTCTAGTGGGGGAGACATAGACTTTCCATTATGATAATAAGCACCACAGAGGGAAAGTGCAGTGTGCCAAGAAGGGGTCGGAAGAGGGCCAGCCCTAGTTTGGGGGGAGGCCAGGACAGGGTGTGCTGACGAGTTTGTCTGAACTGAGATCTGAAAGCTCGGCCAGGAAAGCCACCAGTGCAATCAACTTGCAATTCACAAGTTTCCTGCTCAACACCAGCCGGGTGTGCATGCCCGGATCTGGACTGGGACATGGCTTCCAGTTAGCTTTTACTGCCGGCAGTGATGAAGAGAGGCAGCGGTTCCCTCTGCTGGTTCCTTCTGCACTGTTCAGTTGTCATAAGTCCCCAGAGATTGTAGTGCTCTGGGGGAAGCAGGGCAAGACAGGCTCCAGAGGGCCAGTGAGGTGAGCAGTCGCACCTTTCTTGGAATGAAATGAAATTTACTTCTATCAAAAAATGTTAAACCCGGCTGGGCGTGGTGGCTCACGCCTGTAATCCCAGCACTTTGGGAGGCCGAGGCGGGCGGATCACCTGAGGTCAGGAGTTTGAGACCCAGTCTGGCCAACGTGGTGAAACCCTGTCTCTACTAAAAATATAAAAATTAACTGGGTGTGGTGGTGCATGCCTGTAGTCCCAGCTACTCGGGAGGCTGAGGTGGGAGAATCGCTTGAACCCGGGAGGCGGAGGTTTCAGGGAGCCGAGATTGCACCACTGTACTCCAGCCTGGGCAATATCCTCCGTCTCAAAACAAAATAAACAAAACAAAACGTTAAACTGATTCAGTGAGGACTCTCCTGATTTCAAATGGCATTAGCGCCCACCCCACCTGGCCTTGGAGCTGACAAGTTAACCACAGGAGGCCAGCCTCAGATAGGATGAGGACACTCTCCATCTGTCTCACTTGGCATCGTGGGCTCTGCCCTGCCCTGTCGGGAGGTCCCCTGCCCCAGGCTTCCACTTACCCAGCTTGATCCCCCAGTGGGAAGAGCTCTCCTGTTCAGTAATTCAATTGGAAGGATCAGGCTCCTGGGTCCCTCACCTGGCTAGTCTGGTGGGGGCAGGGAGTGGAGGGACGGAGGGGTGGGTGACGCATGCAGCCAGGGCTGGGGCACCTGGAGTCAGGGGAGCTGAGACTAGGGAGGGGACATTCTGCAAGAGGAGATCAGGGAGGAGGTAAGGATGCTGGGCAGGCCAAACCCACAGGGTCCCCATGCAACAGGCCCTGGGAAGTCACTGGCGGGACAGAAATCCAACGGGATTGAGCTCTTCCCAGCGGAGTCCTCCCTCGCTTGTCCTGGTCTGAATCCCTGCCGTCTTTTGCCTGGACTAGTGCGGTAGCGGCCACCTGGGCTCCACCTGGCAGTGTGAGTGGGCCCTGAAAACGAAGCTGGACCACATTCCCCCACTACTGTGGCTCCTCTCTCACTCGGAGTCCAGCTGGGAGTTCTGCCTAGACCACGGGCTCTGTGCCATCTGTCCCTACCGGTCTCTCGGACTCCCCCTACTGCCCCCACACAGCCAGCTGCAGCCTTCTGCTCCAACGATGCAGCTTGTTCTTGACCACCCTCCTTTAAAAAGAGATCCTCCCTGTCCCCACCCACCCCCGGCTCTGATCTTGCTTTGTGTGTTCATCTTCTCAGCACCCATCACTCCTGGACATTCTGGTATGTGTCCGTGCCCCATTCCAATCCCAGCTCCAAGAGGGCAGACACTTGGTCAACCCTCTTTGCCTCTGTATGTAAAACGTGCCTGCCACAGAATGGGTGCATAATCAACATTCTGCTGAAGGAAGAAATCAATTCATGTCCCTCCCTGGGGATGTGCATGGAGATGAGTAGGTGGGCAGCCTACTGGCCAGAAGCTGAGCTAGCATCTTATTTACCTGGGACCCTCAGTGCCTGGCTGGGCACTCAGGAGGTGGCAAAAGTGTCTTCCGCAGGTTGCTTAAACTTGCTGGACAGGCACTTCTTTGCTTCAGGCCTGTGTGGGGGAAGCAGTGTTGCCAAATCAAGCCAGTGATAGGGTGTCAAAAGGCTGGCGGTATGGGGCCCTGGGTGTGACTCTTTCTGCACGGTGAGGGAATGCACAGGTGGGGCGGGGGATGATTGGGAGTGGGAAGTGGGGACAGAAGACAGGGACTAGCTCCCTGCCCCATCCTTTCACTTCCAAGGTGGGATCAGCTCTCCTTGGTGCCCAGCCCTCACTGTGGACTGTCCTTTCCCCCGGGGCCTGAGGGCACGGTTCCCCAGCCACTGAGACCGCGAGATCGCTGCAGGCTTGCCCTGAGCAGCGCTATGATCTGTGTGTTGTGTATCTGTGTGTTTGCAAGGGAGGCTGCCACCTCCTGGGGCCTGGGTACTGGGGGAAAGGAAGTGGCAGGGGAAACCACTCAGTGGCTTTCCAGGAATGAGGGGGAGACAGGAAGCCAAACTGAAAGGTGCCTGGCTGGCGTTGGGGTGAGACAGGGTTGGGCAGCCTTGTGTTCCACCCACCGTGAATGGCTTCACCCTTCCCAGGGCGGCCTTGCTCCCTCTTACGCTGGGCCTTTGTGCGGCTCTCCCCTCTCTCTGGGACACCCTTCTCTTTCCCCCTCAACCGGGTGGCTCGGGCCATCTGTTGGCCTCAGCACAGAGGTGGGCTGGACAGCTGAGGCCAGATCTGCCTGCAGGGGCCTAGCCTCTTTCCTCCCCTCTTAGTTCCTGCCTTCAACCTAGGCTGGGTCCAAAGGAGCCCTCAGAGCAGACGGGACTGGGGTCTGTGTATCTCTGCCTCTCCCACCCCACGCTGGCCTGGCTGACCCAGGCAGGGCATGCTGGCCAGGCCTGAGCTGTGGTTCCCCCCACAGAGATGCGCTGGCAGCTGAGCGAGCAGCTGCGCTGCCTGGAGCTGCAGGGTGAGCTGCGGCGGGAGCTGCTGCAGGAACTGGCAGAGTTCATGCGGCGCCGCGCTGAGGTGGAGCTGGAGTACTCCCGGGGCCTGGAAAAGCTGGCCGAGCGCTTCTCCAGCCGTGGAGGCCGCCTGGGTAGCAGCCGGGAGCACCAAAGCTTCCGGTAGGTGATGTGCTGGCAGGGGGGCCACGGCAGGGTCTGCTTGCAGGTCTCACTGCCCCTCTACCCCCAGGAAGGAGCCGTCACTCCTGTCGCCCTTGCACTGCTGGGCAGTGCTGCTGCAGCATACGCGGCAGCAGAGCCGGGAGAGCGCGGCCCTGAGCGAGGTGCTGGCCGGGCCCCTGGCCCAGCGCCTGAGTCACATTGCGGAGGACGTGGGGCGCCTGGTCAAGAAGGTGAGGCTCTCACCCTGGGCCATGGGAAGTGTTCAAGGCTTTGGGATCAGGAGGCTGGGAGGGCACTGGAGGCCAGGTGGGGACCAGGCAGAGTGAATCTGTGTGCCTCCCAGATGGGGCTTGAGCTGGGCAGAGCTTCCAGTGCCTGGCGGGGCCTCTCTGGGCAGTGCCGTGCTCACCCCTGCCTCTGTCTCTAGAGCAGGGATCTGGAGCAGCAGCTGCAGGACGAGCTCCTGGAGGTGGTCTCAGAGCTCCAGACGGTGAGGAAAGGGCCGGGGAGGGGCCTGCCCCAATGGCCCTGGGAGAAATGCCACTCACAGCTGGAGAAGAACATCCCCAGACCATCACATCTCCCAAGCCAGGCTCAGGGAGAAGCATGCACCTAGGGGCAAAGGCCCTCTCTCCCTAAGCACAAGGCATTAGGCTAAGTGCTCACATGGGATTGCCCAGCTCTGAGATCCAAGTTCCAGAGGGGCAGGGATGGAGGGTTAGGGGCTGGCCCGGCCGTGGCCTTCAGCAGCACTACCTTGCTTTGGGTCTCCTTGCAGGCCAAGAAGACGTACCAGGCATATCACATGGAGAGCGTGAATGCTGAGGCCAAGCTCCGGGAGGCCGAGCGGCAGGAGGAGAAGCGGGCAGGCCGGAGTGTCCCCACCACCACTGCTGCTGCCACTGAGGCAGGGCCCCTCCGCAAGAGCTCCCTCAAGAAGGGAGGGCGGCTGGTGGAGAAGGTGGGCCTGGGGGGCACCTCGGATGCAGGCCTATGGGGCATGGGCCCTGACTAGGACCTGCTGTGCTGAGGAGGAAGCCAGGGCTGGGTGCAGGGGAGGGCGGGAGTGGCAGGACGGTGCCATCAGGTTCCAGGGATTCCATACGGAAGGCTCCCAGGGCCTGAGAGAGCGGGCAAAATGGTCACCCGGCCCCGGGCAGCCCCATGCAGCCTCTGCAAGCTCTGAGCAGGGCTCCTGCCGCTCTGCTGTTCTGCCAGCCATTCCATAAGGTTTGAAAGGGGCGAGAAGACACTTAAGGTGGGCGATGGGGTGACACGCACGGAGAAAGGGCGTTTGAGGTGAGCCCAGTAGAGAGAGTGGGGAGGTTGGGAAATGCCTAGATGGAGCTGCCAGGCTGTGCGGGGCTGAGAGTGATGGTCTCTGGGACTCTGGGAGCAGAGGAGGGAGTCGGGCATCTCCGGTGTTCTTAGGGGAAATGACAGAGTTTGGCTGTGTTGGGGGAAGGTCTCCCTGGTTGCTGTGGTTAAAGTGCCAACTTTAGCCGGGCACAGTGGCTCACGCCTGTAATCCCAGCACTTTGGGAGGCCGAGGTGAGTGGATCACCTGAGGTCATGAGTTCAAGACCAACTTGGCAACATGGTGAAACCCTGTCTCTACTAAAAATACAAAAATTAGCCGGGCATAATGGCGGGTGCCTGTAATCCCAGCTACTCGGGAGGCTGAGGCAGGAGAATAACTTGAACACTGGAGGCAGAGGTTGCAGTGATCTAAGATTGTGCCACTGTACTCCAGCCTGGGCGACAGAGTGAAACTCTGTCTCAAAAAAAAAAAAAAAAAAATAGAGTGCCAGCTTTAGAACCCAGTTGCCACCAGGTTCTGTCTCATGGCCCTCGATGATCTATCCCTACCCCTTGCGGTGCTCGCTCCCCCTCAGCCCTGGCCCCTGCAGAGGCCTGTGGCCACTTCCAGCTGTGCACCTGTGTGCTAGCTCCAAGCTGGGTTTCTCGTACACCCTCCATGGTGGGGTGCCACGCGCGCACTTTCCACTCATCAGGTATCTGTGAATAGTTCTGTGTCACCCCCCACCTCGGTGGGGAATGTTGTGGCTCGAACCAAGGCAAGTGGCAGAAGCACAGCAGGCAGCGCCAGCACTGGCAGGTGAACAGCCGGGGAGTCAAGTCACCTCCTGGCATTGGGCTGTGGTGTGGGGAAGGCAGCAGGACTTCTGGGCTTGACCAGTTCCGTTGTAGTTGTCCACAGCGAGAGGGGTGGCGATGGGCATTACATGAAAGGCCAGAGATAGGGGCTGGCCACGTGCGTGACTCTGGCACACCTGCATTGTCTTGAGTAGCGGCAGGCCAAGTTCATGGAGCACAAACTCAAGTGCACAAAGGCGCGCAACGAGTACCTGCTGAGCCTGGCCAGCGTCAACGCCGCTGTCAGTAACTACTACCTGCATGACGTCTTGGACCTCATGGATGTGAGTCCTTGGTGGGCAGGTGGGAAAAGGTGCCTGGTGCCCCGGGGCTGGGAAATTACAGCTCCAGGACCCACCCAAGCATCTCCTTGTTTCCTCCTCAGTGCTGCGACACAGGGTTCCACCTGGCCCTGGGGCAGGTGCTCCGAAGCTACATGGCCGCTGAGAGCCGCACCCAGGCCTCCCAAGTGCAGGGCCTGGGCAGCCTGGAAGAAGCCGTGGAGGCCCTGGATCCTTCAGGGGACAAGGCCAAGGTTCTCGAGGTGCATGCTACCATCTTCTGTCCCCCGCTGCGCTTTGACTACCACCCCCATGATGGGGATGAGGTGAGGGTCACCCCCTGCTGGGCTCGGCATTCTCTGGCCTTCACTGTACTGGCGGGCAGTGGAGTGGCGTGACCCACGCTTTGCTCAGGAATCCAAGTTCTCCATGGTCTCAGGCAGTGCAGCAGCTAGAGAACTGTCCCACTTCCATTTGCAGCCTCACTCCAAGGGTGCACCGCCACAGTGGCCAAGGAGGGCAAGACACTAACTGTTCAAACCGTGCAGCAGGCAGCCATGTAGCTGCCCATACATTGTTCTGGGCTGGTTTCTCTGTGTTTTTAAATTTCGTGACACAAACTTGGGAGGAAATGAAGCACACACACAGTAAGATGGAATCGGACTTCTTCATTATTCTTCTTCGAGCTAGTTTTTCCTGCAGCAGTTTATCCTGATGGGCATTGGCAATGACCTGGGATTACACTGGGCTCCTTGTGGGCCGACTTGGAACTTTACAAAGAGTCCAACATCACCAGGGCTTCTGATGGCACACAGCTACTCCCTAACCTACCCCTCCTGTTCCCAGCTTCCACCCCCAGAAACAGCCACCCACCTCTCAGCATCAAGCAGCCATTTTCCACTGGCCAATGACGACTAGCATCTCTCACAGCCACCACACGCTTCCCTGCATCTTGTTCTCCCAGTGGGTTTATTCCAGAATTTTTGGCTAAATTAACATTCAATGTTTCAATCACCATGACAACAGGTACTGTTGGCAGCTGAGCCATGTACTGTATTAGGATCACATGTCCTTCCTTGGACAATTTTTCCTTTTCTTCTGAAATTTATAACTCCCTCGCTTCAGGAATGCTGCTTGCTAGAACATACCCATTGCTAGGAGTTGATCGTTACCTCGTCCCAGCACTGTCCTCCACACCAGGCACCCTGTGGGGTCCACCTTCTCCTCTGCGCCCTCCCTCAGAGCCCCAGAGCCCTCCAGTCTGGACTGCTTCGCTTCTGCCCAGTGCTCTGTTTCTGGATTCCACAGCAGCAGCTTTCTTGGTTTGATACCCTTGTTTTCGTGGACGCCTTCACCAAGGGTTTCCTGACTTAGCACATCTGAAAATGTCTGTATTCTTTGTTTTGTTTTGTTTTTGAGATAGGGTCTCACTCTGTCCCCCCGGCTGGAGTGCAGTGGTGTGATGTGATCTCAGCTCACTGCAGATGCAACCTTCTGGTCCTCTCACCTCAGCTTCCCAAGTAGCTGGGACTACAGGCTTGCACTACCACGCCAGGCTAATTTTTCTATATTTTATAGCGAGGGAGTTTCACTATGTTGCCCAGGTTGGTCTCAAACTCCTGGGCTCAAAGAATTGGCCTGCTTCAGCCTCCCAAAGTGCTGGGATTACAGGTGCGCCACGTGCCCGGCTAACCCTTTATTCTTATTTCATGAATACAGTACTTCTTGAATCTTTCTGAAACTTTTATTTTTTTTTTTTGAGAGGAAGTTTCCCTCTTGTTGCCCAGGCTGGAGTGCAGTGGCACGATCTTGGCCCACTGCAACCTTCACCTCCTAGGTTCAAGTGATTCTCCTGCCTCAGCCTCCCAATTAGCTGGAATTACAGGTACCAGATACCACACCTGGCTAATTTTTAAATTTTTTAAATTAAATTAAAAAAATTTTTTTGAGACAGAGTCTTTCTCTGACACCCAGGCTACAGTGCTGTGGTGCAATCTCGGCTCACTGCAACCTCTGCCTCCCAGGTTCAAGCAGTTCTCCTGCCTCAGCCTCCCAATTAGCTGGAATTACAGGTACCAGATACCACACCTGGCTAATTTTTAAATTTTTTAAATTAAATTAAAAAAATTTTTTTGAGACAGAGTCTTTCTCTGACACCCAGGCTACAGTGCTGTGGTGCAATCTCGGCTCACTGCAACCTCTGCCTCCCAGGTTCAAGCAGTTCTCCTGCCTCAGCCTCCCAAGTAGCTGGGACTACAGGTGTGCACCACCACGCCTGGCTGATTTTTGTATTTTTAGTAGAGACAGGGTTTCACTATGTTGGCCAGGCTCGTCTCAAACTCCTGATCTCAGGTGATCCGCCTGCCTCAGCCTCACAAAGTGCTGGGATTACAGGCGTGGGCCACCATGCCCGACCCTTTTATTTTTATTTTTTAGTAGAGACAGGGTTTCACCATGTTGGCCAGGCTTGTCTGGAACTCCTGACTTCAGGTGATCTGCTTGCCTCAGCCTCCCAAAGTGCTGGGATTACAGGTGTGAGCCACCGTGCCCCGCCTGAAATGTTTTTTGTTTTCTCCTGTTCCTGCATCTGCTCTATTTTCTTGCTTTTGTCCTTGAGTCCAAAATCCCTGCTATATCCTTTCCAGAGAGCAAATCGTTAGTTTTCTGCTGATCGTGTCTGTTTGGTGATTCTTGGCCGTCAGTTCATATTTAAGAAGAGGCCTGAACACATACCCCACAAATGTGGATGTCTGTGGTGTTTCCTCCTGGCCTAGCCAGTTTCCCCAGTAGAAACTCTTCTGACCCTGTCTAGGGAGGAGAGGGGGCGAGAGGGCTGGGAGCTCACTCTGCTGTGTGGATTTCCTTGGAACTACCTGGTCTCAGTTCCACACCCTCCAGCCAAAGCCTAACAGGAACAGTCCTGTAATCTCCATTGCTAGAGGGAACCTGCTCTGTGGGGAACCTGGGGCCTCTCAGTGAGAGGGTGGTGGAAGGGTGGTAGAGGACTTAGGCTTGCCTTAAGGGATCTGCGGGGAGGGCCCAGGTAAGTGGGGCTTGGTCCTGGATTAAATGCCTTCTGGAAGCAGAGTAATTGTATGATGTATGATTGGATGTCTTGATTAATCTTATCTAGAAGGAGACAGTGATGGAAGCTGAAGTGATGCGAGGAAGTCATAGTCACTTACATTAACCAGGATGGAGGGATGATTTTGTGGCTTGGAAGAAGTTCTTGATTTTGTCCTCACTCAGACGTGATCGCAGAGTGGTCTTGTTTCTGTCTTCGCCCATCAAGGTCACACAGTGGCCTTGCCTGATGTTGATGCTCTGGGACATTTCCGGTGTTCAGCAGGACAGCACTGAGACTGGGCTGATAGGACCCTGAGTCCAAAATCCCTGCTATAGCCTTTCCAGAGAGCAAATCGTTAGTTTTCTGCTGATCGTGTGAGTTTAAGGGAGGGATCAAATTTCAGTGGTCCCTAGGGTATGGACAGATTTATTTTTTCTCTAGAGAGAGGCTCTGGCTCTGTTGTACGGGCTGGAGTGCAGTAGTGTGATCATAGCTCACTGCAGCCTCCAACTCCTGGGCTCAACTCATCCTCCTGCCTGAGACTCCCGAGTAGCTGGGACTATAGGTGCATACCACCATGTGTGGCTAAGATTTGTACTTTAAAAACAATTATTTTATTTTTAAATTTTAATCTATTTATTTATTTATTTTGAGACTGGGTTATGAGACGGGCTAATTTTTGTATTTTTGGTAGAGTCAGGATTTTACCATATTGTCAAGGCTGGTCTCGAACTCCTGGGCTCAAGTGATCCACCCGCCTCAGCCTCCCAAAGTGCTGGGATTGCAGGTGTGAGCTAGTCCAGCCTAGATGGACTTTTAAAAAAATGTGTGGCAAAATACACATAGCATAAAACATACCACATTCACCATTTTTAAGTGTGCAGCCCAGGGGCAGAAGCACATTCACGGTGCTGTGCAGCCGTCACCACCATCCAGCCGCAGAACTTGTTCATCTTCCCAAACTGAAGCTCTGGCCCGTTCAACCCCAACTCCCCACCCCCCAGCCCCTG